ACTGGGGACATGACTCTGAGCTGTCAACGCTTCCTACCGGCTTCCACAGCACCCTTCTTTTGCCAGAAAAAAAATGCTGTTGAAGTTAAACAAGGGCTTAATGAATGGTCACAATAATTGTTTAGCTTGGATATAAGGTCTTAGGTAAATAGATGATTGCCTGAGACCCTGGGCCAGTAAAAGCAGCCCAGCAGGACACCGCTCGGTCTGTCCTTCGGACAACAGCCCAGTGGCCTCTGCTCCTCCAAGGACTGTTGTTACTGAATTAATTCCCTCTTCCCACCAGCACATTAAGGCAATTTAGTATCAGAAGGTGCTTGTCAAAGAAGAGAGAAGGAAAGAGAACTTTCTATATTAGAAATATATGCTTTGAGCCGGGCTTGGTGGCTCAACCTGTAATCCTGTGCCTTTGGGAGGCTGAGGTGAGTGGATTGCTTGAGCCCGCGGGTTCAAGACCCGCCTGGGCAGGGAGACCTCATCTCTACAATAAATCAAAAAATCAGCCGGGCGTGGTAGCGCATGCCTGTAATTCCAGCTACTTGGAAGGCTGAGGTGAAAGGATCGCCGGAGCCCAACAGGTCGAGGCTGCGGTGGTCGGGAGCGGCCACTGCACTCCAGTCTGGGCGACAGAGTGAGACTCCAACTCAAAAAAAAAAAAAAGGAAAGAAATATATGCTTTGGCCGGACACGATGGCTCATGTCTATAATCCCAGCACTTTGGGAGGCCAAGGCGAGAGGATTGCCTGAATCTGTGGGTTTGAGACCAGCCTGGGCAATATGATGAGATGTCGTCTCTACAATAAATCAAAAATTAGCTGGGCGTGGTAGCAAGCACCTGTAGTTCCAGCTACTTGGAAGGCTGAGGCGGAAGGATCGCCGGAGCTCAGCAGGTCGAGGCTGCGGTGGCCATGAGCATAGCACTGCACTCAAGCATGGGTGACAGAGTAAGACTCCATCTCAAAAAGAAAAAGAAAAAAATATATATGCTTAAAACATTTATCTTACTACATCAGACTTCCATTAAATGGAATACTCAACATACAAAACTTGTTTGGTCTGATTGTATTTAACTGATGTCTTTTCTAAAATGCATTATTAGCCCACTTAGAGTTGTTCTACCTCCTGCCATACTAGGATTTTTAACAAGATTTTATCCTTTTTGAAAATAATTATTTACCACATTGAAGGGCCATCATTAGGCTTTGAGTACTGCACTTCTTGGAGTATAATTGTAGTTACAGGCAGTGCAGGCACTGAAACTGATCTTTCAGGTGTGGTTTCATCGTTGATTGTTGTTGTCCTTGATTTCCTTTGTTTTGTTTGCTTGTTTAGGTATCTTTGCTATCAACTGTCTTCATTGTTATTTATCTTCTCTCAAAAGTAGGATGCAGCATGAAAATTCCGCTTAATGGTGAGCTTAAATAAGTAAGTGGCCAGCTAATTTCAGTTCTGCTGAAGAATGTTTTCAGTAATTTCTTTCTTACTTGAAAGTAATAGATTCCTTACTGATCCAGAATAGAAATTGGTTGTCTTGCTCATACAACCCATTTCCACTGAACTGCTCTTTGAATAAATAACATGTATCTGATTGAACCTCGAACACATCAAGAGGGTGGAACCCCCTGATATCAGTTTCTAAAATTCATTATGACTTATGTGTTTGGTCTATTGACTGATAGTAATCAAAGCATATACTGAGTAAGAAAAAGTTAATGCCTACCTGTTTGGACATTTTTTATCTTGATAATATAGGAGAGCAATTAGTGACTTGGGTTTTAGAATCAGTTCTGAATTTAAGAACAAGCTCTGTGCTAACTAGCTCTATGAATTCGAACAAATCATCAAATTTCCTTTGACTTTAGCTTTCTCATCTGTAAAATGGTCTAATAATAAGAATGATAATATCTACTTTGGGATGTTGGGTTGATGATGTGAGAAAATGCATGTAAAATGCTCAGCATGGTGTAAGTATAAATGTTAACTACCATATTATTTTCACACCCTTTATAATTTCTTTACAACAAGCTTGTAAGGTAGGCAAAATTGCTATAATTATGCAATTTAAATGCTAGAAAACTGGATCTCAAAGGGGTTATCGACTTGTCTGTGGTTACCCAAAGTAGCAAAATGCTGATCCTCTTACTACAGGAGTCCACTAATTCCCAGCCCTTCACCCATTCTGCCGTGTGGTGCTGCTTCCTCAGTTTCCCTAAATCTAAAGTCTTACATAATGATGGACCTCCTCTGCCTTAGACTCTCAGGTGAACAACAGAAATAAATCCTGTCAGAGGCTTTAAAACCAACATCAATATTATACAGACATTTTCCATGATTACGGCACCCTCATAACTACAAAGTCAAGAGAAACTCTTTAGTAATACCAACCACAAAAATACTAACGAAGAAGTAGTTTCCAAAAGGTGATCCTGAAACCCTTGGAAGAAGCCCAAGTGACTACAGAAACAGGTCCACAAATCCACAAGCCCAGCCAGCGTTGTAGATGCTATGTGTACAGTCTCATCTACACATTGTTTTTTAAGGCTGTGTCTCTCTCTTACTATCGTTAAAAATATGAATTCATTTGAAGTCAGTGAATCTGTTATATCATTTTAACATGCTGCATTTTCTCAATTGATACTAAAAGTTCAGCTTCTACTATGTGGGGTCTATGGTTTTTTAAAATTATTATTATCATTTTTAAAACAAGGTCTAAACACTCTATAAGGTTAGAAACCAGTGGTATCGAGGAGAGAGCTCTGCCTGTGAAGCCTAACAACCCAGACTAAAGCACTAGCCCAGCTCATTCTAAGCTGAAAGCAGCCCAATTAAAGTCCATAGATATTTAATATATCAGGCCTTTTAGGGGCCCGAGTCCTTAGCTGGGACTATAGGGTGGATGGCCATCCTTCATAGGCATCGTTCCCTGAGCCTCAATTTTCCCATTTATGAAGTAAGGAGAGGCCAGGCTTAATGGCTTAGCCTGTCATTCCAGCACTTTGGGAGGCCAAGGTGAGTGGATTGCCTGAGCCCGTAGGTTCGAGACCAGTCCAGGCAACTTGGCGAGACCTCGTTGCTATGATAAATCAAAAAGTAGCCAGATGTGGTAGCACACGCCTTTAGTTCCGGCTACTTGGAAGGCTGAGGCAGAAAGATCGCCTGAGCCTGGCAGGTCAACACTGTGGTGGCCATGAGTATGCCACTGCACTCCAGCCTGGGTGACAGAGTGAGACTCCAACTCAAAAAAAAAAAAAAAAACAAGTAAGGAGATAATAGTGGCTCTCCTCATCAAGAGATGAAGGCATCTCATTGTGAGAATCCAATGAGAGAAACAAGAAAATGTACCATACTGTTTGTGAGAATGCTTGGAAACTCTTCAGAGCATTATATACGTAGGTGGTCAGGACAACTGCTGAGGAGAAGGAACCCTTCAACTCTTCTTCACCGCTTATCTTTAATTATTGACCATCCACCCCATGGACTTAACAAAATGCATAAATAATTTTTTAAAAAGCTAGCAGCATTCCCTTCTTTGATTTCAGTTTATTTTTAAACTTTGATTTCATATTTTTAAAGGTACATTTCCATCTCTTCCTTCCTCCGCCATTTTCTTTATCGCTTTTATCCATAAATGGTAACTTTCTTTGTTATCAATATGGCAATATAGCATCAGATCATATGAAGCATTAAATAAGGCACCAATATAAAATCCAAAGCAGAGTGCAGCCCAAGGGCTCACGGCTTATACTTTACAATCCCAATTACACTCAAGGCCCATCTGTGAGGGATATTTTAAGCACTGTTAGTCGCATGGTTGCAATGGACCAGGCTCTCCCCCAAACCCTGGTTAACTCCAGGGCTTAAGAAAGGAGAGAATGCTCTTCCTCCTCTTTGGTTCCAGGATGGGACCCCCAGAGCTGTCTTAGCTCTGGGAAAAAGTGGTTTATAGAAGTGGACTCATTACACTGGAATTGAAACCTTCCCTCACTCAGTTCTTCCAGAAATATATTAGGTCTCAAATCAACAGAAGACATTCGCTCAGAGCCCACTAAGTACCAGACAGCAGACAAAGCACTATGGAGAAAGGCACATAACATGATGTGGATAATCCTTGCTCTGCATGAGTTTAGAAGGAAGTAAACCAGCATTTGCTGCCAGGCAGCTAGTACTGTTTTAGGTTTTCTGACGATGACACTTCAGATGGGGTCATTATCTTATCAATGAGGCAGCTGAGCTCAGAGAAATAACTTTGCCAAGATTGCACAGGTGGCAAGTGTCTAAGCCAGGTTTCTTCAAGGCCTAACTGGTTCTAAAACCCATGCTCTTTCCACTCTACTCTGTTACCTCCCTTGATCAGGAAGGCAGGACACACAACAAAAAGGGAAATGAGCACAAACATTACAGGAAACCTACAGGCTGTGTGTCCTGCCTTCCGGATCAATGAATAAGTACTAGGAGTTCTGCAGACCACCCTATGTGCAAGGACGGCTAAGTGTCTAAAGTACCTGGAGTGAGACTAGCCCTTGTCTGAGCAGATTCTACAACAGATCGATGATACATCCTGGGGAAAAGAAAGGTGGACGCCAGTCAGAAAGCAAGTGTGCTGGAACCGAGAGAAATGACACGCTGGGTGATTAAATCTTCTAAGAACAAAAGCTACAATCCCGACACACCATTTGTCCTTCCCAATCAGTGGCTTCATCTTTGTGGCCCTGGGAGGTACAAAAGGATTATGGAAGCTTGTAAGTTGCCATGATTTTCACAGGCCCATCTTCCAGGTCTATGTAAGAGAGCCGTGGTTCATTTGCAAGTTCATTACACTCAGCATTAATTAAATATCCCTTTCCACATGGCACTCTCTTAAGTGTGGTGAAATGGAATCACCTCTCCCTTGACACCTGGTGTTGGTTTCATTGACATAATTCATGAAGAGGATTTACAGAGGAAAAGTGAATACACTTGGCAATGCTTTCAAACACTCGTTTGGATTTTCTGTTTTCTAGGAGATGTACGACTAAGGGGTCAGACGGGGGTTCCCGCTGAACGCCGTGGCTCCTACCCATTCATTGACTTCCGCCTACTTAACAGTGAGTAATCAAGTGTACCTGGAAAGGAACAAACGTTTTCTTCAAAAAGAAAAAAAAAAAATCCCCATTTCCCTCTGAACTTCAAAACCTTCCAGGGTCTGCCTTCCTTCCTGCTCTCTCCTGCCAACTGGAACTTAACCCTTTGTCTTTGAATTTCCTCACAAGTGGAGTAATTCTGACCCTGACCTGCCTCTCAGAGCTTTAGTGAGGGTCAGATGAGATCATGTCAGTTGAAAAGTATAAATCTTAAAAACTGTGAAGCCCTGTACAGGGAAGCTGTTATTTCCATTTTCCAGCACATTCTATCTTCAGCCAGGACTAGACTAGGCGAGATTCTATTTTGTTGTTAAAACCCCATAGAGAAGCCTCTTCAACAGCTGCCCTGAGTAATCCACCCATTATCTAATTCTCACTTCTTTGTCTAACCTAAGTCCATGAGGTCTATTCTTACATACTTGGTGAAAGTCTTGACCAACAAACAGCGAAGCCCTTTCGCCTTCTCCCTCACGAGTTCCTTGACTTCTGTCTTTCCCCTTTAGATACTACTCCTCATTGGGAGTTTTGCCCAACCTCTGGTTCATAATTCTCCTAATCTTAGTTCCCTTTGGAAACTCAAACCAGTAACCAGATTTCATGTCTTCTATCATAATTATCTTTCATTTTGGACTTGTGGGGAGGTAGAGGAGAAAGTAGGTGAATTTCACAATTTGCTCCAAGGTTTTTCAGTGCTCGTTTGTCGTATCACTTCCCATCTATAAATTTCAAAATGCTGGATTGCACCCACAGAACATTGCTTTCCTTTGACAGAAGTAAGCTCAGCTAAAGTGGTGATTTGATTGACTTCAACCCTTGGAAATGACTAAGAGAAATTAAAACTTGCTATTTCTGGTCCTTAGGTCCTTAAAAGACCAATAGGAGATGGTCATGTTTGTGCTGCTTCTGGCTTGTTAACCTCCCATATAAATGTGCAGTGTCTGTTTTTTCAACTCTTTCAGGGACAGGAGATTTGGAATAAATCCATACTAGCGACAATCTTCCCCACTCAGACCCTCCAAAATGCTCTTTGGAAGACAGAATTGAGCCACTAGAACAATGCAGTATTGGATATAGCCTGTGGTGGCTGCAATGGTATCTCTGAACTCTTCTTATGACCCTGAGTGGGGGTTGTTCCAGCTACCTATGAAAGTTATGCCTTTGACAATCTCTAAGCCAAATGAATTTCCAGGTTCTGGACATGCGGTTGCACCAAGCAGAATAGGAATGAGAATGGGGTCCAGCTTACTGTTTCATATGGACCAGATGTCTCCAAAGGCATCTGATTCTGGAAGTCAGAGGGAAAAAATAATCAAAAATCTTCTTTTCAATAGTAGATGTTATTCCATGATTTCTAATATAAACCATGAATAAAATCAGAAAATGGGAAATATTTCTCTTTAAAATTCTAAGTTCCAAAATGATTTTTAAAAACTTAATCCCAGTATTAATAGGCAACTTTACTGCTAAGGGTGGTTAGCTTTGCAGGTGGGATAATAGGATATTTAGCTGTCTCTATTATAGGCTTTCGTAACTTGGATTTTTTCTTTTTGCAATTAGTTTTCTTTACTTTTGTAATCTGAAAAACAACTGCAAAAATAAATAATAATTTAAAGGGAACCTCGGCCAAGCATGGTGGCTCACACCTGTAATCCCAGCACTGTGGGAGGCCGAGGCAAGAGAATCGCTTGGTCCAGGAGTTCAAGACCAGCCTGGGCAACAAAGTAAGACTTCATCTCTACAAAAGATCCAAAAATTAACTGAGCACACACCTGTAGTCCCAGCTACCCGGGAGACTGAGACAGAAGGATCATCTGAGCTCAGGAGGTCGAGGTTGTGGTGAGCTATGATTGCGCCACTGCTCTCCAGTCTGGACAGCAGAGTGGGATCTCGACTCAAAAAATAAAAAATAAAATAAAATAAGAGAATCTCATTGCAGATAGTATTTCATCGTCATATTATTCACCATCTAGTAGATCATCTACAAGAAGCAGCCATCATGTGACTCCTCTTCTGGAGATCTCCCGAACTTCTAGTGCCTGGCCTCAAACCCCGCCTCCTTTCCCTGGCCCTAGATGCTCACTGCCCCTCCGCTCCTGTTTCTCCCAACCTGGTGCTTATGACCCTCCACTTGTTAAGCGACCATGTTGGCCACCCATCCTGAAATTCCCTTTCCGCTCTTCTCGGCACTTCATTCTGCTTAATTCTTTCACTCATGTCTCTTCATCTGTAATGTATACTAAGGCAATAGTAATATGCCTTCATTGTATTTTACTTTATAAGTAATCTCAAATTTACCTTCCTAGATGTATAAAACACATCCCTAAATAGACACAAGATCCTAGAAAGTGTTACCTTGCCAATCATCAAAGGGTCTCCTCAAAAAGATTGTATTAAATAACTTCCTCTTGAATTAAATAAAGCATTCTCTGTTTAACGAAAAAACACAGATAGGACTAAAGACCTCAGAGATTTTCCTTTGTTTGTTGTACTATCTACCCCTTTCTATGTAATGTCTCACATACCCCATTGGTGAATTGAAACTAGAACCAATAACATTACTGCATCCACAGTTCGTAACTTGGTTTGCAATTACAGCAGCTTATTACCATGTAGCAGAAGGTGTGTGGACATCTGTGTTACACATGAGTACAGTCACATATGATATATATGTCATACCTCCTACTACTTTCTGCATTGTCTATTTAGTTATCTCTAATCTCATTCATGTCCTTGTTGTGGTTTGCCTGAGTTGTTAGTGTGTGTTTTCTGCCTAAAGGGAGATATTTTGGAACATTTTGGGATTTTGTCCTAAAACTTTTATCTTTACCAACTGATTCCAGTTCTATACCATCAGGGCCAAACTATTTTAAAGTGATCCTTTATATCGCATACCTCAATTTTGAGTCCATTTTTTTCTTTCTTTCTTTTTTTTTCCATTTTTTCAAAGTATGGGCACAGACCCAAGACTTCATTTAGCTCGGTTACTTGCAATTCCACTCTCTCGCCCAAGGTAGAATCTAATCTAGGACTTTTTTTTAACCATTTATGGGACAAACCAAATCTTCCTAGGCTCTCGTTCCCAGTTCTGCATCCCTGCAAACTTCTTTCAAAAACGCTTGGTGAGACAACTGCCATTCTCTAGACAAAGTGTCCCTGGCTGTTTATCCTCTACCACCTGCCTCCTTATATGCCTTGAATCACCGCAACATTCATAAACAAAAATGTATGTTAAATAGTAAGGCCCATTGCATTTCTCCATTGACCCCATTAATCATGGCCCCAACTTGTCACAGCAAAACAGAGGATATCAGAATTAATATCTAGGATAACTTATCTTCTATCAGAACAAAGTTTCTAGATATTAAAATAGATAACTGGAACAAGGGTGGACAAATGACAGTCCATACACCAGATCTGTCCCCCTGCCCCTGCCTGTTTTGATGCTTAGCATTTTATTGGGACACTTTCATACCCATTGTTATATGACATCTATGACTGTTTTCACGCTATAATGACAAAGTGGTTGCAACAGAAACTATGTGGTCCACAAAGCTGAAAATATTTACTGCATCACCCTTTATATAACAAGGTTTCCAATCCCTAACTTAGTTTTTTTAACAGATTTGAGAGGTTTTTATGACATCTCCATCAGCACATTCAGTCTAGCCTGTTTTGCCGTGTCGATGTCATTTTTTTTCTTTTCAGCTTCCAATGCCATCATTTTACTTTCCAGAATGAATTCGCCTTGACTAAATTTATATGAGACAGAAGTATAAACAGAAAGGGAATCTCTGTTGTTGATACAGATTTAAAATTCCAATTTAAAATTATAATGTCTAACTGCACAAACATTCTTCTGGAAGAGAGGTCCCTTTCTACATGTTTTTTTGAGGGGAGAAGAGCATAGTACCTCTCATGTGCCTATTATGTATATATATATATATATATATATATATATATATGGCTTGCCTGGCATAGTCATAGTTTGCACCTGTTGTCCAGAAATACTTAGTAATAGTGCCATCTTTCACTCCAAAATGTCCTAGTTTGGACACTTCATTACAAGTCCAGCTGCTTGTATAGGTTTTCCTACAAATGAGTGCTTCAGTATAATACTTCTCAAAGATCACAAGCAGGAATAAGTTTAAGAGATCTATTACAACATAGTGTACAACATAGTGACTATAGTTAATAACAAACTATACTTCAAAGTTGCTAAGAGAATAAATTTTAAGTGTTCTCACCACCCAAAAATGGTATGTGAGGTAATACATACATCATCTGGCTTTATTGAGCCATTCAACAATGAATACATGTTTTAAAGCATCATGTTATACACTATAAATATATCTAATTTTTATTTGTTGACTAAAAATAATAATATATTCCAGGAATAAAGATTAGAAAATCTCCCTCATAAGAGATCTATCCAGACCAATGGAAATACGTAAGACAAAATTAGTCATTAAAAGCCAATTTCATTTCCTATTTCTATTTTATACCATATTAAAAAAGGTAACTCTACAAACTTCTAGAAGCTTCTCCAGATAAGTAGCAGGAAATTGTGGCTTTCAGTACCAATCTGTGGGACTCAGGAAATACAGACCTTTAAAGAAGAGAGTTACCTTTACACCCAAGCACAGAGAGGCAAAAGAGAGTGTGAGAAGGGTGGCAATTATTTGTATTCCAGAAGAGGTCCTAACACAGAGAACAGCAAGGCAAAGCAATGTAAATATAACGGCCCTATGAGCCCAGCGACAATTTCCGATTGATTATTTCATTTACTGATTCTGTTTGGGGGGGAAACAAAGCAGGAACAAAATGAGAGAATAGTGTTCAGAGACGCGTGGACACAAAGGGGAGAATCTCAGAAGCAATGACAGCCTTCTGCAGGGCAGGCGGCTCCAACAACCTATCTACAGCTCTGTCTCCTGATTTAATATAATCAGTAGCCTGAGTAGATA